AATAATATAATAAAAATGGATCCTCCCCTTAAAAACATAATATAAATAACCCTTTCAATTATCTTGCCAGGTTGTTAAGCATGAATTGTAAAGCTGAAGTTTTTAGCCATAGTTGGATATCCATATCATGAAAAAAAAGACTTGAATTAATGAGGGTTCAATAACATGTACCGTAAAGTATTTCTAACCATCGACTTGAATTAATGAATCTGTTCGAATTGGTGAAATTATAGTGAGGTCTAGCGTAAAATTGCCGTGACGGCTTAGATTAAAAAACTCAATGTCACTTGTTTTCTTCACCATTAAAATGTGCATTTAAAACATTTACATCTGCCCACTTGGAATTATTCTGGATCACTATTCAACAGCGACTGTTTTGTTTCAGAGCACTCCATATTGTGGGTACGGGAAGTGTAACATTTTTGGCTGTGCTTGCGATGGAGGCTGCAGAAAGGACTGCAACCCCTGGTACAGCGATTGGCATCGTCCGCCGTATGTATCTGTTCATTTTCCTCTTGAACTCCTGTTATCCTCGACAGGCCTCCCAGAGACGCTAAACATACTTTTAAAAACCCTTTCAAACCCCCTCTACACTGGACAGCGTCCTTCCTGCGGCCCGTAGTACGGCCCCGAGTAAAAACAAATGATACTTTACGTGCCGTCAACTGGCCGATCATTTTATCACTTTGCAACCAAAGCGATAGTTGTGCCTCCTTTCTACGACCACAGCGATGTCAGTTTCATGGTCGCACAAAGGACGCAGAAATGACGCCGTCCAATGTAAAGGGGGCTTAAGGAGTCAACTGTCAATGCGAAACAGCTACCTCAAATTGCTCCGATTAATGAGGTTGATTAGTTCTCAGGTGAAGAGTGTACCGTAAATTATGTTACGGGAATACAAAGGGCGCATTCAGAGGTACACACCACACTACCGGTAGCTGGGTCGGTCCATCTTTGCAGGAAAATTCTGACTGAAGTGCAATCAGTGGAATCATTTTTATCAGCAAGCGATAGTTAATAACCCCCTCGCTGCTCGAGGCGTGTATGACAATTAAGCTGATTCACTGATTGCGATTTAGCGAGAATCCCCCGTAGAGTTGGTCCGACCCAGCTAGTACGATGTGTGAATCTGAATGCGGTCAAAGTGAGATACGCAGCAGTTCGCACGAGTTACGTTGCCAACATCTGCCCATGGTTCCGTATCAGCTCCAGCGTTTTTTTTAACAGCGCACACATCAAGTTAACAATTGTTCAAGAAGAGAAATGGCTATCAAGTACGTGTTACAGTTGCACGTACATTATTTTACCAGTTTGCTTATAATTCAAACAAAATACAATAATTTTGTATAGTTTTTAATGGCCTAAATTACATATCAGTTTCAGGTACGGCTATTACCGAAAGTGCGAATGCCTTAACAAGAGATCAGTGAAAGATGTGCCCCAAGGCGGTATTGTCGTTAGACGCAGACGCAGACGGGTAAATGACTGCTACTATTTTTACTCCTCTTACGGGTTCATTTTAAATGTAGCACATATCCAGTAATTACTTTTAGCATGCCATGCCATTCTTTAACTTGGTTTTACCCGTATTTCGTGAATTTTTATTTGTGTTTCAGGTATGATCAAATTCCAAGAGCTGATTGTCAAGAAGACAAGAATATTAGCAGACAAAGTTATTTTCGGATTACTTAAGAGTAATCTTGTTGAGTAAACCAATATCTTATCATTCTCTTGATTTATCTAATTGTCAATTTTAATTTCGTGCAATTAAAATGGATTTCACAACATTATATACTGTCTAGAGTTTTATTTTAGATTTATTTTTTTTAGTTGAAAGACAGGATTTTGTAGCAAGGTGTTATTTCCAGGTTTAAATGAAGAACAGAGTTTTGTAGCATTGTGACTTAGTGGTGTTGAATGGAAAATAATTTAAACGTTGCTAATATTGATCAAAATTTAATAACGCCTGCAAAACTTGCACTTTTTCATGCGGCAAGACTTCAACTCTATGCCTTTTCTAACAGTAATCGAATTTCCATATACATGTAGTTCCTTCGCAAAGATATTATACATATTGTCAAAGAGAAAAATCTTTTCGTCAAAGTGGCATCGCTCCTATAATAACTAAATCAACGTGTTTTCTCTTTGATTCTTAAGTGGTGAAAACACAAGTTTTTGTTTTGACCACAGTGCTGCAAAATAACCGAAGTTACACGTTAGACTGGTCACTGTATTAAGTGAGAAAACACCATCTCACTTCTTCAGTAAATTACTGATACGCTTGAGTGGTTTTAGACAATGGCTAGTTTTAGATTTTCAAATATTTTCTCTGAACACGAATTGGGACAAAAGTCTTGTAAAAATAAATTGTTAACAACCAATGCTTGTGGCCACTGGAATCAGAAAACCAACCTTAACCAACTATTGTCTGGAAAATGTAAAATTCACACCATAGACAAAAAATCTTTTATTTTCTTTTTTGGCTAGTGCAGTTGTGCATCCTTTATTCTATGTTCTGGATGAAAAACACCTGTATTTAAACTTTATGGTAAATTTAAGCTATGAAATAGCTAAAGCCCTTAAGAAGGGGTATTAATTTTCACACAATCAATATCATATTTGAAGACATACACTATGAAAAGCATTTTTTATGATAACTTGTCACCTTAAGTGAGACGCTCCCACTCAATACGCGTACGCAGCTGTGTGCGCAGGCAAGAACATGTAAGAACTATATATTCTATGAGGAGAAGAAGTAGGGGGTAAACATCCAAAAAAAGAAAAGAAAGAGCGAAGAGTATTTTTAGTTTTGTATAATATTTGAATGACTTAAAGGTGTATATCAAGCGCAAAGACGTTTACCGTATGTCAAATCATTGCCATTACAAAACCCAGAAAGTGATATTCCATTAAATTTCATTTTGTAAAACTTGAAGAAAAAGTCACTGGATTTCATTTTATCATTAATTTTCGTTTTACTTTCCCTTTCATTACGAGCTGAAGTAGGGTGGAATGGGTTGTTAGGTTGGTCAATAGTAACATCATTTAGTGTTAGAGAAGATAGTGGATTCGATTGTGAATAAGACAGCTCTAGGTCAAACATTGTTACTGTTGGTTGGTATTGGAAAAGACACTAGGTTGAAGGTGTTTAATTCTCGACAGGTTCATACTCAAATGGCAACTCATTAAGGTAATATCAAATTTTAGATCAACATATTGAGAAATTAAGTTTATCTTTTAATTATCACGATTAATGACTCACACATAAGCAAAAACAGAAGTGTCAGAAAGTTCTGTATTTCAGTTAAAATTGCAAATATCATCTCACAAAATCACGAATTGGATTTGAAATAGAAATAAATATTTATTTAGGCAAAATGTGCACATGCCGGTAAAGCAAAGTAATATGATGTGTGAAAACCGAAAAAGGAAAGTTCGCATAAACACCAACAAATCACCATTATCTTCATTTACTCGACAACGTGAGGCTTTTTTTATTTGAATATTAATACCAATCAGAGCTTCTTTCCTCTTATCAATTAGACCTTGGAATTTGAGCATATCTGAAACACAAGTGCATGTTTACAAATAACTCGCAAACAATCACGAGATGAAATATATAATGACATAAAATAACACTTTAAAAGTAACCTAGCTGCCCCTGCGGTGTTGGATCGATCTCCATTGTTTCATTGGAAATATGCACTTATTTAGAAGATTGTGAAACTGACGACTATCGCTGTACCACTGAACAAAACATTTTTTGTGTGTGTGTGTGTGTGTGTGTGTGTGTGTGTGTGGCATCAGTGTGGTATATAATAGGCACACGGTTGCAGATTGCCTTCTAAATGGAGTCGAAAGAAAAAAAAAAAAAAAAAAACAATCGTGTGGGTCCCTCACCTGTTTGCATCAATTAAGGTATGTATCTCTAGCGACAATACCTCCCCCGGTCCTATCTTCCACAGATCTCTTGTTTAGGCATTCGCATTTTCGGTAATAGCCTTTCATGAAACTGAAATAGTGAACTTCATTCTTAATACTCCTTCCTGTCTTCTTTTAAGCAATGATCAACGAAAGCTATATCTGAGAATTTCTCAAACGCATTAACGGAGCAAACTTGCGGTGTACTGTTTTATAACAATTGGCAAATCTAAAGCTTTTTTATATGATATCTTGGTAGGAGTTCAAAAATAGGAAGGAAACAGTTAGATACATACGGTGGTTGATTCCAATCGCTGTACCAGGGGTTGCAGTCCTTTCTGCAGCCTCCGTCGCAAGCACAGCCGAATATATTACACTTCACATATCCACAATATGGAGTGTTCTAAAACAGAATGGTCGCTGTTTACAGCTGAACGAAGTTATTTCAACGTGTGCCCGGCTTCGTTTAATCATTTAAATCGTAAAACCTTATTATAGATAGAATTTTTTTCCATCAGAAACTCGCCTTTTTTAGGACCGCCAGCAAGAGCTTTTTGCCTATCATCATATAGGCCTTTTTCTGTCTATACCTTTTTTGCAGTTTGATGGACTGCATGTTTACAAACCGTCTGATGGTGAGATAGCTGTTATCGTCTGCGCAGAGTATTACGTTCTGCCTTACGCCTTATACCGGAAACACAAGGCTTTATACCGGTACAATGACAGTAACTATCGCGTGTGTGGTATGTAACAGGTAAGGTATCTCACCTCAGTACAGTCTGCACACCATCCGACCTTGTCAGCTCTACAACAAGCTGCCTGAGCTTCTTTAATGACAGTGGCTATGACGAAAACAGCAACCAGGATGGTGACAAGAGATCCTGTCATCGTCTGAAAATATAAGATAACTACATGTACTAACGTATCAAAATTAGATTAAAGATTAAAGATTAAACGCTATTAGTGGTTGGGTTTTTTGCGATATTCGAGTAAGAAAACTCACCTATTATGAAATAACGCTTCCAACTAGTCGACTATCGAAGTCTACTACGCACACCTTAGCTCCTGCACCGTTGTAGCAAGACTGAGTAGCGGCGGTGGTGTAGGTCCTGCATAACTGCTATTCCGTACCTCTGTGTGCGTGTGTCATTGATGCTGTATCAACAAGCGCGACAGTTTATTTTAAAAAATCTTCAAAACGATTGACATCAAAGAGGAATGCCTTTGTGAAAAGATCAGAGAATTTGACTTCTATCATTTTGGAATAATATTGTGAAAACCGCATGTCTATTTGAAGATTGCCTGATTAGCATCACGCTGAGTGCCATTTTGAAGCGTTCATAAAGCTCTACATCGTCATGAACATTGGAAGGATGAACCATTTTCTTGGCAACACGTACAAGTATCTACCTTAAAGCTCGCCGATAATTTTCATCAAACTCTCTGTGTATCAGCTTAGCCGTCTTGGAAAACAAGCTAACACGGACATTCTCAACCTCCATGGAATACGAATATTCACCACTAAGTTAAGTTTAACGTTATAGCCGTCAAGTGTTTTGCGCATTCTCTCTCAAATTGTTATTACTTTTCGGACTGAGATTGCCTTAGAATGCACATACCGTGTATACTGTGAAAAAGATAAGGGTATTGTGTGCACTAAATTAATAAAAAAGACAAACAATAAGCACCATAAACAATATAAAAAGGCAACAATGTACAGACAAAAAGAAGAAAACAAAGATGCACAAAATAGGTCATTTAGTCAATTTTGATGCAATAATAAATAATGCTTGTAACAGCACAGTCAATCAACATCAAAATTTAATAACGCACAACAGGTAACATGGATAATAAGAATAAAGCAGCGGGCCCATGAGAGTTCAAACCCACATACGAAAAATTCCAATACTAGAATCATGATGAAAGTGCACAAAATAATATTACATAAAGCTTAACAGCATAAACACCATTACTTTTGCTTAAAAAAAAAAAAAAAAAAAAAAAAAAGCTTCTTATACAGGGCATCAGGTGGATGGGAGTTAAAAGTCACATTTTGAAAATTCTAGTGTTTGAAAAATGAAATCTTTAAAAAGCATAAAAACCCAATGAAACTGCTATTCAAACATTTTGTGTTAACATACAATGAATCGCCCCACTGAGTTTGCAATATAAAATCAATCCTGTAAGATTGAAGACAATACATGTACCTATAGGTCTATCAATTTTCCTTGAAATGTGTTATGCGTATTTGATATAGAAATAAAGTATGCTGGAAAAAAAACGGCATAACTTTTGTTAAAAATTGGTCCAATCAAGCTGATCTTCAAACTCGCCCTGAATTTTAGTAATATTGATCACTGCTGTAGGTGTGAAAACAATAGGCACGGCGTCTACGACGACGGTGACGACAAACGCAGGTGATAGCTATACAATGTATGTACAGGCACGGCGTGTCTGTACATAAAAAAAACAAGGGATGGTTATTATTAACCATCTGCATCCAAAAGCGTTGTGAAAAATAAAAAGCAATACAGCTGAGTGAGTGTCCAGTTTATTATTATCATTATTATTATTATTGTTATTATTAGTTGTTTTCTTTTTGTTAAGTGTTCTTACAGAATACTTGTAAAGAGTCAGAATACCTAGCCACAGAACAATGACTAGACAGAGTTTTTTTATATCCACGTCTTTAAAAATAAGGCTTATAACATAGACCACGTGCCCTCCTTAGTTTCGGAAGTGCCGGGAACCCACTTCTCTCTCCTGCTATTTTTACCCTTGCCCCCCCCCCCCCTACTTTGCTCCTTGGCAAAATCCTCAGTCTGTCGATGTATACGCAATCGACAAACAGGTGTATGCTACAGCTTTGTCCAAATGCGTGGATTGTCTGGGAATATACAATAGATGTCGCTTGCGTAAGGGAACGAAGACTGGACTTGATTGTCACTGAGCGTGATCTGACGTCACAAGAACCTAAATTAAAAAGAAAGACATTGAACGTTATATCTACAATTAGTGCTGTTTCACTTTTCTTTTTGTAAAGTAAGTTTTTTACAGAGATAAATTTTATTGGGGCGGCGCAAGAAGACAAATGCAGATCAGGCACGAGGTTAGGCCTTATGTGTTTTATTTCTACGAAAAATGCTAATATAAGAGCGCATATATAAATTATTTGTAAAAAGTAACAAAAGATTCGCAGTATTTTTTGATGCGGTGATTTTAAACAGTCCTCTTTCGGTAATAAGTAAAAAAAGAAGTTAAATTGTGCATCCATACAAATTTAATGTCTGTAGAATGATATTAATAAATATGATACCAATCTTATATATATTCTTCCCGTGTGTGTGTGTGTGTGTGTGTGTAAGATACCTTAGTGTGTCGGTACGCTGTACTTTTCTTCCCAAGTTCTATGTAGAAGGAAACGACACATGTCAAAGCGTATATCTGAAGAAACAGAGATACAGAATTATTTCCCGTGAAAGTGCTCGATTGTCTGAAATAATTTTGGTTACATGTACGTGTTTATCAAGTCAAGTTCATAAGCATTTTATAACGGTACGGCGTCAAATCTACGCACACATATATGCGCGTGCGCGCAGGAACATGCTCCCCCGCACATGCTTTCTCCAGGAGAAGACAGCGTCTGCTCCTTCTCGCCTCCGTTCTATCCGGAAAAGGACAAAAGAATCCCCCCAGGTGTACAGAATCAATGATATTTCTCCATCAAAACATCCCAAAGCCGAAGGAGCAGTTTAAGGGGAGGGGGGGGTGCGATGGGGTTCTATATCATGGATACCCAAGATCTGCAAGCAAGGCCCACAGGATGTTGAGAAGATGAGAAGGGTTTCTATATCATCAATAACCAATATCTGCCAGCACGGTCCACTGAATATATATATAGAAGATATACTTACGTTCACAGCCATAATTATTACACAAGTGACAAAAAGCATCCATGCCACGGGAGAGGACGCTGAAAATCAATAGAACGAGATGGATCAAAATTAGCCATCTGTGACTATAGAATTGCGCGAGATGGCCGTACTATATAGCGTGTTATCTGTCTGGCGGTTTTCTCAAATTGCTTGTTAGATGCTGAGATATGCATAAGGAATAGAATTTACTACTGTCAAAGAAGAATTGATTGGATTGACGTGCTGTTTTTCCTGAAAATAATATCATTCCACTTTCTTAAACGTCTGTGTTGCGTTTCTGCAATAATGATAAACCTTTTTGTTATTTATACATAGACGTAGGTAGAGGATGCCTAAGAAAGGAGACAGCTAAATGGCCCTACGGGTGGGTATACTTACGCTCATTCACACAAATCAGTATGATCAGTATTGTGGTGTAGATTACATAAAGGAATGACGTCAATATCCAGGGGAGAAGCAAAAAACGGTTTGCCTGAAAAAACATTTGGAATGATCAGATAGTGCTTTAATAGTATTAGGTAGACAGCGACGGCGCCAATTTCGCCAAATATAGCCGTTTTTTCAGTTATTGGTAATTACTTTTGTAGGGTCTTTTAGCGTTAAAGGTTTGCCCTGTGACTGTAAATCAACTTCAAACGTTTTCACTGCATTGACGAGCCTTTATTTTGCAGTGACTCGATCAAGCGAGTTTTACATCAAAATTGAAATTGTACCAGTCCATTGCAGATCAAGACTGTGACCAATATAAAATTTTACACTGAAGTGACCACGTGTGTGTGTGTGTGTGTGTGTGTGTGTGTGCAAGTGTGTGTGTGTGTATGTGTGTGCGTTCATGTGCGTGTGAGTATGTGCAGCTGTTTCCTTGACCGCGGCAATAATTGACCGAGAGAAAGAGAGAAAGAGAGAAAGAGAAAGAGTGAAAATGAAAACAACAAAGTGTTACGTTACCATGACAGCAGCTATAATAGTAACTATGGAGACGGCTATCCATATAAGGTAAAGCACGAGGTTCATGACTAGCACGGCTGGACTGGAGTAGATCCCGTCCATTTGGGCATGAGGGTTTGTAACGCCATCTTGGTACTCTAGACAATAGAGATGTTACGATTATTTTATGCGTTACTTCAATTTTATTGTTTATATTTTGGTTTTCAAGTGACGTTTGAATCGTCACGCATTTACATGTCTTATCTATCCAATCCATAATTACAGTAAATAGATTAAATAACCAAATATATTAGTTTGCCAATAGATAAATAAGTTAATTGATTGACTTCAGTGGTATTCATAACAATATGATGGCTGCTAGGTTAGTACAATGATTCTTCAATCTGTACACTGCAGATGTTCTAAAAATCGATACGAACGAGGGTCTATAAAGTCATAGCCACCTGACATAATGTAGCAAAAACATTTTAAATGATTCCCGGAAGACCGATAATGGTTTGACATACTGTTGCAAAGGGTGCTTGACAGAATTATTAGCATCTACAGCGTGCTTTTCCGTTGTTTAGATACGATTTCATGCAAGAATCCAGAAAGAATACGAGTTGCAAAACATCATGGGGGTGTCATCTTTAAGCTGGTGTATCATATAAAATATTCAATCATATATAATCAATACTCTTATAACAACCTGCTTTTCTGTATTCTACTCAACTGTAGGTGGAGACGTGTTAATCTTTTTATCTGATTGAATTCAGCACTGGTTCCTGCAGAGATGGATCGATCTAAGTAGAACGATAGTTTCAATGGTAATGAACCCTTATATATAAAGTTTCATTTGGAACGCCCCTTGCATTGCTCGCAATCAATGCTTGTAGCCAAAGTGGCTTTCCGCAAACACCGAGGAATAGGTTTTGTCATTCACTTTTGATTAATACGAGGTCACCACAAGGGTACCATTGATTCAACGAAAATAATAGAAAATGATCAATTACCTGCCACCAGAGCATATATTCCATAGCAAGAGTTCAAACAGCCCAATACCTGTAAAAACAACATGAAAATACTTTGATTCTGATATAGTATAGGATTGATATATTTGAATCGAAGATAAATGACATCCTCATTGACAGCATTTTCACTCCAACTGCGCCTAATTAGACGTTTGATGTCAGAGATTATTCTCGGGATTGCCTGTCAACTATTTTTGCTGCATCACCAATACAACTTTCTCCCTCGGGATTTCTCATTGGAATACCGACATTTGGTAAAGTTGACAGCTGAGTTGATTCTATTTGGCAAGTGTACACATTAAATGAAGCAGTTTTGTCTCCGCTACAAGCCAACAAATAAATCTAAGGTTTACGCATTTCTGTAAATGGATGCCATTTGGCCATATCTATTGCAATTAGGGGATTAAGGTTCGACCATGCTGTGAATAAAACTGAACTGATAAGTCAAGTCAAATGATTAGAGCCATCCATACCAGCTGAAGTGGGTAACTAGATAAAGGAACTGCATTCTTTTTAAGGAAACATCAAAGTGATGAACGTTCACGCGCACGCGTAAACGATCTCATACACACACGCACAAACACATGTGCCCCTATATAAATGATGCATTCATGTGCACTATTACACAAATGCGCACGTACACAAACAGAGAAGCACACTAAATCACAAACACACACACACACACACACACGAAGAAACACGGGCACACAATTATGCATAAGTTCATGATTTCATATTTACACACAGAGACACACTTAACCACAGACAAACATACATGCACGCGCTTGCAATGAAACACAAACACACGCTTGTAACCCCCGCCCCCCCCCCCCCCCCACACACACACACACGTATATAGCTACTAGTACGTGCATCGGAACCCACAATGCAGAATATATACTCAGACAATCCAAAACACACTTCCTGGTCAGTTTAATAGTACAGGCGTTTACATACATTGTTCTCTTGACATTGTCACTACCACCCCATGCGCCAAGGAAACTAATCTTAACTCCATACTGACCATTGACCGGACTATATACTGACCAATGTACAGGTATGCACTTACCATGCTTCTCTCAATTTACACTGTCACTACCACTCCACGCGCCAAGGAAACTCCATACTGACCATTGACCGGATTATATACTAACCAATGTCCAGACAGCGCTGGCTATCGTCCCCTGTCTCAGGCCCCAGCAGCAGCAGCACGTCTTCATGTCTGCCTTCACCAGATCATGGACTAGAACCCAAACGGCTTACATGTATTTTCGTCCGAACACACGTTAGGTTTTCTGGAACAGAGTCTTGTTGAGTCGGAGAATCCTGTATTTACAGAACTAGCACCGGGCTGGTGCCTGCATTGCACAACTGTTACCGGTGATCAGGTAACCTAGATTTTCTTTTACCGTGGAAGTTAATAAAAGTATCCCCTTTACTTTGCCGTTAAGGACAAAAGCCGTTCTTCATCCGTCTGGCGCGGACAGCAGCGGCGGACTACATGTACGATTTCGATGCTATTAGTAGAATCACGCTGTGACCTTTGATTAAAACTCAAACCTCCACAGAAATTATATGCTCTTGAGAGCCTCCGCGCGGTTAAAAAGAAAATGTTCTTCTTCAAATGACAGACATACCCAGCTGCGTCGCCGTTTGTGGGAAATCAAATAGAAGGAATTTCCAAGAGCGGCGAGTTGCTTGTCGAGATGGAGGTGGTTACATGCCAAACGCGTTATCCGTTTGCAGCAAACCTTAAAAGCTACCGTGTTTTTTGTACAACATAGTCATTTCTCGTACTGATGACGTAGCATCAATGCACTCTTTGACTCAATCAGTGCACTGAACATGTTGCTAAAGCTGTCAAAGGGGAAAAGTACACAGAGGAAATGAGTTCCACAGGACACGCTTGAATAACCGTTATTCTCAACGCAGTTTATTAGATGTTAGAAGATAAATCTCGAACCAGAACTATAATAAGGAGGTGTGCACATTCCAGATATAATATTATAGTTTATAAGTGGCATTACTAGGTCAATGTTAAATTTACCAGTTTATTTATAAAAATGCAGGAGAAAGTCTGGAATCTGATATTTTAGACGTCGTTTGTTCATAATTCAAGTTCAAATATATTAATAAACACATATATTGAATCAGCAGACATGCATTTGTTATCTCGTTGTTGCCTCTGGTATTCAAACATGCTTTTTCAGATCGACATGTCTCATTGCAGAAACCACAGAAAAAAGATCATTTTAATACAACTCTCAGAACAAACGGGACTTAATACCTTTCTAACGAAATTAGTGTTCTGTTTGATGCAAGCTAAATTGGGAAATTAATGCATAATTAAGAATCAGACAAAAGCAATTTTGCAGTCGAGCGATTTATTTCACACTTTATGAAATGGAATTATTATCACTGGGAAACATAATTGGCATGCAGCGTCTGGGAGAGTTCACTTGAATCAGAAATAGATAGTCATTATTCAGCTGTGACATGCGATCTTGGTGTAATGCCAAGTGCTGTAGCTGCAATGCTTCAGAGTTGTCTTGTTTAACCCACGTGTAAATTTTTGTTGCCAAAACCGTCATCAGATGGCGGAATATTAAAGGGGGTTTGGATCGCACCTTTCCAAATCAAAGGGCGTACCCCTCCAACTCCCACCTCTACTTCCCATTACAAAAAAAGTATGCGTTCTGCGAATGTCTTGTTCATTTGGCGCCAAAAAGTATAGTTAATGCATTTCATACGAAAATCGAATTTGCTCTTGTATGACTAAAATTGACCTTTCACTACAATAACGACAATGTGCCTATAAAAGTAAGCCCAAGAGGCGCGAGAAAATTACAAAGTAAACCCTTTTTAGCAATTGCAAAACATATAAAAATTCTGGGAAATGTACTAATATCTTTGTGTATGTTTACTTGTAAGTTTGAATGTTTAAACTATACAGAATACATGTAGGTCCGGGTTGTGCGTTAAGGACAATCGACCGGGGTATTTATTGAGTATGTTACGACTGCTGGCAAGAATGAATTACCAATGAATGCAATACAATAAGTACGTAATAGATTCTTGCCAAAAGATGGCTAGAAGCGATATGAGCATCGTGTGCTGGTGCCAAAAATGTACTAAATTTAACCAAAAGCTTTGTAAATCAGATTTTTACCGTTCTATAGAGAACAGGTAAAGCCGTAGAGAACAACTGCGTCCCCCTCTATACACACGATTTTAAGGCTGTTACTGTAGCTTGAAATAAACGAGCAAGCGTGCCAGTGAGCTGTTCAGTTTCATTATCTCTCTTCCCCAGCAGATGTACCTCTTTCGCCTAATAGTTTCACATTTATCCTCGTGTATAAAAGTACGCTTCTATCAACAGCGCAACATGGCTGTCTCCGTTTTTTCGTTGCGTGTTTTCTCCCATAGGGCTCTGACATTTAAAAGCGGTAATGAGAAAAGTGAACACTAATGCTGCTGTGTCAGCGTCGTTTAACATCCCAGGGTTAGCGTTTTATGAACTGACACTGAAATAGCAAGATATACAAAAGCTGGCCATTAAATCGGCTTGATAACACTGACTCTTTTGGAACACAGTCCCGATTGGAATGGTTCATTATTTTTATGAAAAAAAGGTAAAAGAAGCAGGAATATCGGCAGTTGGGATTACTGATGTGTTGTATTAACGCAAACTGCGCTGTGTCATACAGCAGGGAATACATTATACAATATACACGAGCACTTTTAAATAAATAAATAAATAATATTATGACCATAAGCAGACAGTACCATAACCTATTGCTAAACTGCGTTTGAATTTTTTATGCATAAGTATCAACATGGATACATTGAAATGATTTGAATTACGGAGAACATTTATATGACAAAATGTTCATCCCCACTCAGTACCTAACCTCAGCGGCCATCTTGGACTTTGTCCGCTTCCATGGTAACGTGGCCTCTTGCCATTTTCACACTATGACTAGCTTGGACCAGCGGACTCCGACCTTTCAAATGACGCATCATTTGGGTGCCCGTATCATGGGGCACTTAAACTTAGTAGGGCCGCATTTTGCAACTTAACGCATTTTGCAACTGGTTGCAAAATGCGTTTGTTTGCAAAATGCGGCTCTACACCCCTTTGTCGCTCACCTACAGATGCTAAAAATAATTTTTCATAAGATGAGGCAGCCGCTAATATGTCATGAAATATCAAATGTATGTTCTGTAAACGAAAAGGGCAAAACCTTCCAAGAAATCAACACAGAACTTCAAAAGCGTCTCCTGGCGGAAATTGTAATATGACAGAAAGAGGAAACAGTCCATCATTCTCTACTGCACCAGTAACCACTCTCTTTCATTTCAATTTCCTCCCATACACTGACCTCAGCCTGTTAGTTAATATGGCATCAAGTGACAGGGGAATGATTAAAAAGAAATCCTTAAATACCGGAAATTAAAAAGCAATTATTGAACGTCAGTATTGAGATCGATGCACGCTTGTTGCATGTATATGCATTATTAACGTGAAAGAAAGAAGGTAAAATCAAGAAGTAATTTTGGCTAAACAATTATACGGCGGAATCAAATGCATTTCGTCATTCCATCTTCAATCATACGTTTTAATTTCATCATAACCCCATGGCAAATGAAGCCTTTTTTTTCTAGGAACGGGTACCTTTCTGTTTTTCGATAAGCTGCAATTCCAATTATACTACGAGCGTATCAATGATGAAACATTTGGCGTATAAACACATGATTGAACATATAATGAAACAAATCGACAGACAGCAAACGGTCTGATATATATGTATATTTAGAAAAATAAAGCTGAAAAATGAAAGAAAACAAAAACTAGCACCCTAATCAGTAAAATTATTGTGATCGTTTTATTTATTCAATAAATATATTCAGGTAAAATGTATAGATGATCTAAGGGTGCATTCCCAGAGATTTAGATCGATACAGAGATTTAGATTTAGATCGACCTAACTCCCTGGGGTTTCACGCTAAATTGCAGTCAGCCGAGCGCGCACCATAGTTAATTACCCCCTTACAGCTTTTAGTACACGGGACAGACGCTTAAGCCGGCTAAGCTGACAGTAATCTAGTGAGACTCCCCACAGGGATAGATCGATCTAAAATCTATGGGAATGGGAATATAACGAAGATTTGCTCTCCCTACCCCCACTCCGCACTTGACATCTGCTCTATTTAGTGAAAGTAGATGATGATGTAGTATCCTGTTGTGAGCCTCCCTCTCATTTTGAAAATGTGGAATGTGAACCGAAGGCATTCTTAAAAATACAAATGAACGTTAATATTGTTCATTGACCAGAGTGATCTTTTCGCAAAATTTCTTTCTGATATTTGCCCAAAGCCCAAAGTAATCTTTTTTCAAGGGAGGTCTCTGTAAGACTTACAACTAACTGCATCAACAGATCGACGAGTCCGCTAAATGAAAAATGTGTTTTGCTATGATTTACGACCGACGTAAAACGAGGCAAAAACAGTAGCCAATTTAGTGTAATTTCCTCCCCTGGAAAAACGCCAAACAGAGTTACTGGAATTCAATGGAGCGCTGGAGATAGATATTCAACAGATCAGTGAATTAAGGTGTAATGGACGAATAGCTATGGATTTGGTATACCATATCAGAATGATGATGAGGTGTATCATTGGATTTCAGTACATATTCATATTAGCGTATTTGATTTTCTTAATATTTTCATATCCCAAGGGATACGTGTTTCCTAGAATTGGACACTAGTATGCTCGTCAGTTAATATCATTTGTATCATTTGGTTTGTATTATTAGTATCATATATTATATATTATATTATATATATATATATTATGGACCCTTTAATTCCCTTTTTCACAATAGTTTCCAGCTTTGACCAAGGATGGGTGTTTTTCTAATTTTACATCATTAGTCTTGTTTTTATTTTCAATGGTATTTATTCACTTCATGTATTTGTCCAATTTTAAAAGCATCACAATCAACCTTCTATGCTGTTAAAATGATGAATCTATCCAAAGTCACTTCAATTTCCCCATCATCGCCGGAAAAGGCACGGCAGAAATGACAGGAACATTCGAATCATTTGTGTTAATTAAGTTATCACCGTTTTGATTACTCAACACGATGCTTATTAACTGCTAACACAGCGTTCCTAAAACAGTTTCAGAGGTGACAGCAAACAGTGAAATTCATTTGGATTTACAGTTCACTCGCAATACTAGTCTGAGTCAATACTGAAGGACAGATAACACGAGAGGGAAAATTATCCAGCCATGCATTCGAAGTGCTTTGTGGTTCTCCTATTGGTGTATATTACACTGTTCATGGACAGAGACCCTTCCACGGAGGCCCTCGATTTGTCCCATGCAACGTCCATGAAGGAAGTGAGAGGACGAAGTAAGTTCAAAAAGTTTCTTGATCTATGGTACAGAACAAAATCAAGCACATCGTCATACCATCACATTGTGTTTAGTTTTGAAATTGTCCAATTTAACGAGATATGAAAGGCTGTTTAGGTATAATATAAGTGTGCCCTCTTCTGATGTACTGGGCCAAATTACGAAACATGAAAGATACTCTGTACCCAAACTAAAATGATTATTTTTTTGTCTTTTTTGGAAAAATAGTGAAGTCTCATTCATGAAGGGGGGGGGGGGGGCGGGCAATTTACTATTTTTACCTTCTTTACTTTTTAAGGGCAAAGACTCTTTATTGATGTCTTAATTTTTTATTTTATTTTACTTTTTTTTTCAGAATGCAAAGACGGTGAAGTTTGGAAGAGCCCA